TTGGGTTCAGTCAGGGAAACGTTTCTGGGCGCCCGCTGTGTCGGAGGAACTGTCCGAGGAGGGGCCTTGCGTTCTGCACGTCATTCGGCCCGGCTCCTGCGCAGCGCGGTGGTGGGCAGGGGGCCGGCCCTGAGCGCGGCCCAGGGCACTGCCCGCGGCCGAGAGGGAAAAGCAAGGGCGCTGGGCTCGTGGGTGTCCTCAGCTAAGGGGCAACGCGACGCGGTCAGCTCTCTGAAAGGCTGGCTTTTTGAAAACTAGTCTCTTCACCTGTGGGTCTTGATTAAGACACACTCTCCTCCGTCCTGAGGGTCCAGGTTGTAGATGTAAAGGTGTCCGTCGGACGATGCGACCAAGAGCCTCGGCAATTTCTGGATCCTAAGAGCCAAGAGAAACGTGTGCTGTGATCACAACGAACGTGGGCAACGGACCGGCTTCGAGTGACAAAGCCTCACTCCTCCGGCGGGGAGGTCACCAACTTCTCGTCCCGCCGTCAACAGACCTGCAGCCCGCCGACCCCAGAGCCTGGGTTTCTGCTCATGTCTTTGCGTTGTGTCCTAGTGATTGACCTTGAGGATTATTTCTTGTTTTTAAAAACAATTGTGTGGATGAGACGAAATGAGGTGCGTACACACTGCTGCTCCGTGAAATACCCCTGCCGACAAACACATCCGCTCACCTGAGCGAGACGTGGTTTCTGCCTCTCATAGCCACGGAAAGGAAAACGGGAGTGAAACTGGCTCCCGTGCTTGCTGGCCAGGTTTATGAAATTTTTACAATATTCAACTTTAATAAGCGCTTTTAAACTGCTTCGGTAAAATATGTCGACCCCATAGGTATCTGAACCTAGGCGTCCGGACGAGAGCCTTTTTACATAATTCCCTAAGAATGGGAACTGTTTTCAAGACAGTGTCACTGTGACCAGAGGGTGAAAATTCCTATGCCAGCACCCCCCAACCCCCACCACCCCGAGACGTAAAAGCAGCGGACGGGTGACTGGAGGGTTTGCCTTTAAATCTGTGCGTGTTTGGGGAATTTCGTGCTTTGGGAAAAGAGACGCACAATGGTTCCTGCTTGTCAGCAGTGGGTGGCACTGTACGTACGTGGAGAGGGTGCAGATGTTCCTCTGCCCGGAGAAGCTCAGACGCCCGGTGGCAAAGGCCCTGTCCTGGTTCATCATGTCGGACACCTGGGCGGGGAGGTAGTTGGAGGCAGCCACGAGCACCTTTCCCACGTAGCCGCTCCAGGTCGAAGGCTCTTCTGGTCGACTGGGGGGAGTGAGGTCACACGCGAGGGTGAGACGGGGCCGCGGTCCCCGGCATCCGTCCAACACTCTGCGCGCCTGAACCTGCTGGGCCCGCCGCGGCGGGAAGGAACTGTGCCTTCGGCCTTCGCATAATGTTCTGCCCACCTAGGACAATTCGGGACGTGCCGGCCCGGCCGGACCGCAGGGCAGCAAGCCACTGCAAAGCCGTTAAGAGGTTCACAGTGCTACCGCTTTCCCACGTTAAAAAAAGGTTGTGTCCGATGATTAGTCTGATTTCTACATTTCTTAAAGGGGGCTCGGGGAGAGAGCAAGGTGGAATCTGCCCCTGGACTCTGTAGAAGCCCAGGCCTGTCCTGGGCTCACGGAAGAACAGGCCGGTCCCAGTGTTAAGGCCTCCCCAGCCAGACTGCGTGGGAAGCAAGATGCAGTCCTGGACTGCCTCCAGGCAAACGCTTTGGATGGTGTTTGATTACAGCCCTCGAGCCACCCAGGTTCCCCAGGATCCACGACGGGGTGGGGGGGAGGGGGATAATTCACAGGGACCCAGTGCGCCCCCTGCAGTCATCACGCGCCAGCCCAGGGGCTCCACCAGGCAAAGGGGACAACTGCTCCACTGTGAGACGTGAGGCTGGACGGGGCGCACGCCTGCCTCTGAGCTCTCTGCAGTGGTCAGCACTTTGAGGACCAGGGGGGCCACATGTGCTGCTGAGCGGCACACCCGCTCAGAGGTCGCTCCTCTGTGGGACTAGATCCTGGTGACGGAGGCTGGGGGGGCACACTGCAGCTCAGAAGCTCTGGGGTTGATTCCTCATGGGCACCAACCGGCTGGATGGTCTTTGGACAAAACTCTCTGGGCCTCAATTTTCTCATCTGAAAATGACGGGCGCTTCCCAGGCTTCTACCATCACCCTCGGATCCTGAACATCCCAGACACACCTGTGCTGTGTGCCATAGCTCTGAGCTGAGGGCTGGGACTTACAAAGAGGTACCACATCCAGGTCCTGCATTCACGGTGGAGGCACAGCACAGATACACAGAAAGAGCAAGCAGGACACCTCATGCAGGGTCCGCAGGCGGAGCACAGGCAGAGCTCCAGGACCACAGCACCTGACTCAGAGCCGTGGGGCGGGCGCAGGCAGGGCACAGGCAGAGCTCTAGGACCACAGCACCTGACTCAGAGCCGTGGGGCGGGCGCAGGCGGAGCGCATGTCAGACGTGGATGCAGATGAGCAGTGCTGGTCCGGTGGAGGTGGGAGAGGCGGGAAGTCTGCAGCGGCAGACCAGGTGCGCCAAGAAAAGCCTCGAATGCCAGGCAGGAGGAGCCGGGACTTTATTCCCGAGGGCAAAGGGGGAATAAAGGTGTCAGAGGAGGGAGGGTCATGCTTAAAGGGGTGTGTTCAGCAGATGAGTCCAGCAAGAGACATAGGATGGATTGTAAGAAGAGGCTAGAAGGAGTGAGACCAAAGAGGAGAGTAATGAAGTGGACCAGCCAAGAGCTGTGAAATGCTTGGTTCAGAGCAGTGGCTGGAGAAATGGCACCAAGGTGGCAAATATGAGCCGTCTCATGTGGGATGTGTTAACACTTCACCGACCGGCTGAGGGAGAGTCCAGAGCGACTCCAAGGCTTATTCCTGGTGGTCTGAGACCAACAGAAACAGGAGAGCCTGGAGGGGAGATGAATCCATGTGGTGATCTCCTATTTTAAGCACCAATAATAGACTCAGGTGGAGACCACTGCCAAAGCAATACTGAAGAAAAAGAACGAAGCTGGAGGAATAACCCTCCTAGACTTCAGACAATACTACAGAGTTACAGTCATCAAAATAGCATGGTATTGGTACAAAAACAGACATATGGATCAATGGAAAAGAATAGAGAGCCCAGAAATAAACCCACAGACCTACAGTCAATTAATCTTCAACAAAAGGAGGCAAGAACGTACAGTGGAGAAAAGACAGTCTCTTCAGCAGGTGGTGGTGGGGAAACCGGACAGCTGCATGTAAATCAATGAAGTTAGAACACTCCCGCACACCATACACTAGTTTAAAGACACCATAAAATAGCTTAAAGACTTAAACATAAGACAAGCTACTATAAACCTCCTAGAAGAAAACATAGGCAAAACATTCTCTGACATTAATCTTAGCAATGTTCTCCCAGGGAAGTCCACCCAGGCAAAAGAAATAAAAGCAAAAATAAACAAATGGGGCCTAATTTGTAAAGGTCACAGCACAGCAAAGGAAACCATAAGCAAAACAAAACAACAACCTATGGAAAGGGAGAAGACATTTGCAAATGATGCAACTGACAAGAGGTTTAATCTCCAGAATATATAAACAGCTCATACAACTTAATAACAAAAAAAACAAACAACCCAATCCAAACATAGGCAGAAGACCTAAACAAGCAATTCTCTAATGAAGACATATAAATGGCCAATAGGCACATGAAAAAATGCTCAGTATTGCTAATTATCAGAGAAATGCAAATCAAAACGACAATGAAGTATCACCACACCAGTCGGAATGGCCCTCATTAAAACGTCCACAAACGATAATGATGGAGAGGGTGTGGGGAAAAGGGGACCTTCCTACACCGCTGGTGGGAATGTAGTTTGGTGCAGCCACTATGGAAAACAGTATGGCGATTCCTCAAAAAACTAAAAACATATCATCCAGCAATCCCACTCCTGGGCACAAATCCAGAGGGAACTCTAATTCAAAAAGATATATGCACCCAAAGTTCACAGCAGCACTATTTACAATATCCAAGACATGGAAGCAATCTAAATGTCCATAGACAGATGACTGGATAAAGAAATTGTGGTATATTTGTACAATGGAATACTACTCAGTGATAAAAAAAGAATAAAATAATGCCATTTACAGCAACATGGATGGACCTGGAGATCACCATTTTAAGTGAAGTAAGCCAGAAAGAGAAAGAAAAATACTATATGACATCACTCATATGTGGACTGTTAAAAAAACAAAAATAAAAGAGGACACTAACGAACTCACAAAATAGAAACAGACTCGCAGACAGAGTAAACAATCTTATGGTTCCCAGGGTAAGGGGGGAAGGGATAAATTTGGGAGTTTGAGATCCGCAAATGTTAACCACTATAAATAAAAACAGATAAAACAAATTTCTTCTGTATAGCACAAGGAACTATATTCAATATCTTGTAATAACCTTTAATGAAAAAGAATATTAAAATGAATATATGTATGTATATGCATGACTGGGACATTGTGCTGTACACGAGAAAGTGACACATTGTGACTGTGTCTGCCGAGCACTCAGGGCTTGGGGAATGGCAATGATTAACCCAGGCAGACCTTGGAAATACTGTGGGGTTCAGTTCCAGATCAGCGCAATAAAGCAAGTTACACGCGCATTTTGTTTTCCCAGTGCATAGGAAAGTGATGTTTACAGTATGCTGTAGTCTATTCAGTGTGCAATAGCGTTATGTCTAAGAAAACAATGTATGTACTTTCATTTAAAAAGTGCTCTATTGCTAAAAACTGCTAACCATCATCTGAGCCTTCAGCGAGGCGTAAGCTTTTTGCACTAGTAACATCAAAGATCACTGACCACAGATCACCATAACGAGTATAACAATAATGAACAAGTTTGAAATATTGTGAGCATTACCAAAATGTGTCACAGAGACACAAAGTGAGCAAATGTTCTTGGAAAAAATGGCACCGATAGACTTGCTCGACACGGGGTTGCCACAAACCTTCAATTTTTCAAAAATGTGGTATCTGCAAAGCACAATAAAGCACAGAGCCACAACACGAGGCCTGCCTGTACACTACTGTATTTACGGCTAGACTGGCTAACACCTCTGTCCTACACTGCATGCTCCCGGTCAAGGAACTCAGAGCAAGCCTAAGATGCGTATATCATTATGATTATGATTATGATTTTTTTATGCTTTGCAGATGAAGAAATGGAAGTACAGAAAGATTAAATTACCTGCCTAAGCACATATCCTGAAGAGATGAAAACTTAACTCGAAAATATACATGTACCTTCTCCATGTTCATAGCAGAACTACTTACAATAGCCAAGACATGGGAGCAACTTAAATGT